AAACCCAAAACCAAACCATGACCCATTGCCTTGTAAGCTACAAAGATAATTTGTATGGTTCTAGCTAGCTAAAGCAATTATGATAGTCAATCAGATATGTTATTATTTCATTAATTCTGTGGAGTTATCATTAAGATTCCCACCATGTTTGCTTATGACTGCCCTAAAGGGAAATAAATGATACAATTTTAAACGTTGGTAACACCGTGAGGTTAAGTGGGTACACAGCTGGCTGTCACGCTCACCAGTGCTACCCCCAGACTTTCCTGACCACAGAATTGCTGCGTATTTTCTTTTCTCTCCCATCTTCAACAGCAGCATTGTAAGTCTTGGAGGAATTATGAAGTGAAATGTCACTCATTGTGATCTAGGATAAGTCAGAAGATTTTTTTCCCTTTCCAGTTGCTTAATATGGGTTTTTTTTATTGCTGCAAGATTACAGCTTAAAATTGTTAAAACAACATTGAGGGCTTGAAATGTTATCTAGTTATAAATGCCAACAAGTTCACAGTAACAATATTTGTGGGTGTCTAAGTGTTGCACATGGGGGAAGCCTATCCTGTCCATAGCTTACATGAAATGATTTTATAATTAAATTGAAATAAGGAACTGGACTACATATCCCAATCTAGAGACCACTGAAACAGGAATGTTTTATTAGCAGGAGTCAGATTCAGTCCTGGTGGAGAATACAAATGGAAGAATTCAGATGGCACCAGAGGTCCTGCATGATCTTTCTAATCAAGAACAACTGCCACCTGCCAACACCATCTTCTGTACATACGGACATAAGACAAGCAGACAGCTGTTGCAGCATCACATGCCCGCAGAGCTTTTATGCATTGTGCTGCAGTGGCAATCACAAAAAACATCTTGTTTCATGGGACAAATCACAGCCCTGGTGTGGCTGAGGCAAGGGAGCTTCTTTAGCCATCCTCTCTTCCAGGAGACCTTCATCACTCACATCATGGTATGTCCTTCATCATGCTCTTTATTTGCCTTCCTCCACAAACTGAGGTACAACATCTGCAAGTGCAGTTCATAAGCCAGTGGAAAGAGAAAATATGAAGTGAAATTATTGCTTGTTCCATCAAAACTTAGGTGAAGGGTGTTTTGGTCCTGTTTGCATGCTGCCTGAAGATACTGTCACATACACAAATCTTGACATGTAAACCTTTAAACACTTGATAGTGTGGAAGTAGTGTACAAATCCCATGCGGGGTCTCAAGAAAGGGGCAAATTTCAACCAGTAAAATTCATGGCCCAGCAGGCTGTGGAGGATCTTGTCAGTTCCTGTGTTGTGTACCTCTCTCCCCCAATCATTTTATTACCCTGAACATCTGTGGAAACGTGGAGGTGCAGGGAGCCTCGAGGCTGCTCAGCATGTTTGACTCCATTTTCTCCTTAAACATGTGCAAATGCTACTTCTATTTGCACCTTTGCAGAGCTGTGATTTGCAACACCAAAGCCTAAATGACACCTAAGATCCCTCCAGAGCATTAAACAAACAAGCCAGTAGGACATCTCACAGTCTGGGAAGTGCTAAATTGAAAGCAGTAGTACAAACTGCACTGCTTTGAAAATGAACCAGTTGAATTTCTTTGCTGTGTTCCGAACCTGAGAGGTCTTTTCTCATGGCTTTTTCTGCATGAATCCAGGCTCCGTGCACTGTCCAGAAAACTGAACCAGGATTCTGATTAAAGGCTTGTCATGTAGAAATCCTATGTTTCTCATATCGTTTTGGTTTTAATTGGATTTATATGAAGCAAATATGAAAAGAAAGAGGACAGCCAGGACACTATCCACAGTAATTGTCTGACAGAGTGGGTGTTCAACATTTTATGCACTGTCAGTGAGCTTCAGATTTGAATCTGACAGTAGATACAAGCCCCACGAAATTAGTCAGGGGCAAGTTAGTAGCCAGTTAAAAGCTAGAGCATGGCTAGGGCTATACAAAGTAGTTTGGGCTTGAGAATTAATATTGGTTGAAGGACTGCGTTAAAATAACTGGCTATAAGGAGAATACCTTCTAGTGGTATCTCCTGGACAATCTGCAAGTTCTTAAGTTTCTCCTCAAAAATAATCCCCCTCCTCTTCCTTTTAAATGATTTTTCAAAGAACCCCCCTATCCCATGCGATTGCCAATAGGAGCATAACAAGTGTTAATAGCAAAATACACAGCACCTCTCTTCAAAACATCTTTTTAAAATGCGTGCTTTTCTGGCCAGTCATCTCATTGAAAATGAAAATGCTGTGATCAGAACTTTCTGTAATGCAGTGTTTTGTTCATTTGTTTCTGTGATATACCATGCATTTCAGGAAAAAGGCAACAATTATTAAAAAAAAAAAAAATCCGCAAGTTTGTCCTCCATCAGTCTTTTCCTTCTGCTGAATCATTACCTACAGAATTTTGGAAAGATTTTTTCAACTGGAAAAAAAAAAAAAAAGTGTTCTTTGTATGTTGAGTAAATGACTAAGACTAGTCTCAAAAGGAAATGGGTGCAAAAGATGACAAAACACGATCTCAGATATTTAAATTCCTTGTTCTTCACTGTCTATGGTTTTCATTCTTTGAATTTGTGCTAAGGAACCTGATTCTGCTTGATAATGTCAGTGATAATATCAACATAAATCAAGAAAGTAGTGTAAGACTATAATAGAGAGCTTTCCCTTCCATGGTATTTACATGAAGTTTATGCAGAATTTAACCCTAATTTTCATTTAAGAGAATCATCAGTCCTTTAAAAACTGGGACACATGCTTAGGTAGAAGAGACCATTAAATAATAAGGCAGCTAGAGGTTTCCTAGACTATTTTATATTAAAAAGGCAGGCAAACAATCTTTTACGGTTACATTGTGAGATCAGATCAGTCAGAAATGCTGACTTTGAATTTCTTCAGAAAAACAACAAACCTTCCAGTTCACTGCCTTTACTGCCCTTGTAAAAGTGGATAATTGTCTCTGCAAATTGAAGCCATAAATTACTAATTTCACACGGTGGGAGAGGGTTGAATATACTAATTAGTCAAACAGTTGCATTCAAAGTTCAAGCAAGACAGATACCATCCACATTTTTTTCTGTTGTCTCTGGAACATCGAGATCATTGCCACAGCTTACTGAGGAATATCAAGGTGGGTCCAGTCCCACAACACTGCCTGTGTTGCCTATGCAGCCTGGAAGTGCCCTGAAACACAGGCTCCATCCCTACGGGTGAATGCACGGCTTAACAGGAAAGGGTCCTGATCTAGGTTGTGGCAATGAGACACAGAATAGCAAAACTGCATTGCAGGTCAGTCATCCCTTCCACTTAAAACCTTGAGAGCGAGGCTGAAACATCTCCTTACGTTGTGTATAAATGCCTTAAAGTCCATTTTTGCTTGGGGAGGTCCTTTTATTTCCTTTTTACTGGTGGAGAGCTCCGGTGGGGCAGACTCAGCTGAATTTGACTCAGGTGTTGTCCTGGTAGGAAACTGCACTGAGGGTGCCCCGGCTGTGGGGCAGAGAGTGAGCCTGTTGCTGTTGTGTTTTTGCTAGGAGCTCTTTGCAGCACCACTTTTGAGCACCCACTTTGAGGATGTGTAGTGTCAGCAGCATCTGGAAATGCTTGTTTACTCTGGGCTTTTCTTTCGCCCTTCCAATCAGAGAGTCCAAGCTCGGAAGACAGATGGGATTGTTCTGCTAGTAATTGGTCCAGCTGCTGCAGAGAAAATAGAACAAAAACCATATTGCAGTAATAAAAATATAATAAAAGGAATCAAGCAGGATACACAAGAGTATATGAAGCATGCCTGCTTCTTCTGCTTGGTCCAAAGAAGACATGCAGTGTCTGGCAAATGAGGGGTTGCCGTAAAAAGAAGGAGAAAAGCCTAAAGGACATTTTATTCCAAAGGCTAGATCTAATTGCCTAATGGAAAATCTGCAAATGGACCTCAATTTGGGGCCATTGGGATCTTGACCCTCTAACCCAAGCTTGTCAGGGAAGAATCAAAGACAAGTCCCCTGACCATCATTTCTTTAGCTTTCCTTAGCAAACAGAGAGCTGGTCCAGAAAAGACCAGTAACCATTTCTCAATAATTATGTAGGCTGATTGCCTGTCACCTTATTCTAGAGACCAAGAGCGGAGTAGGATACAGACACTTTTATAAATATTGTCACTTCTCCTGGGTAGTTTGAGCTCAAGCAGCATAGCCAAGGAGAAAGAGGGTCAAGGGTGCAAACTCTAAGTATGTTACTGGAAATCCTCCTCTTCTTGGCACTGAAAGGATTGTTCAGATGTACCTCAGAGTACCTCAGATGTACCTTTGAACACTGAATAGCAGGACATACCTTAAACTCTTCCACATTACCCAGAACAGTGGCTTGTGCAACGTACCATAAGGATGCTCTCCCTGATCTGGCAAGATTGATCGTTCAGCTGAAATTCCAGCTCTGCAATCTCCTGACGAACAGCTCGTCGTAAGAATTGAAGGTGTCTGCCTTCCTCCCTGCAGGGACATCAGCAAAAGCACACTCAAGTGAGCGGTGAACACCCTCCTACTCCTCAACCCCAGCATAGCACCTGTATCTTCCTCTGTCGCAGTCTTGTTCTTACCCATGGTCACAGGATACCTTACAAAATAATAAATAACAGCCCTCGTCTGCTTGACTCTCATTTCTTTGATTATCCCAGTTGCAATATTAAAAATGTTGTAGTTGCAGACCCAGCTTGAATCTGGGCAGGTTTATAACTTGTGATTTATCTCCAGCACAAAGATAGCACATAAAGGCCCTACTTTCAGGCAGCTCAAGACTTGAAGCCTCTAGTAACATTTTGTGAACCTGAGACTTCTTGGTAATCACGGTGAACTTGGCCTGAATCCATCAAGAGTTAGTTCAAATTTTCCTGTGTTGCTCCTGCATTGATCATGACCACTAAGTATGTGGCCTAAAGGGACTGATTTGTCAGAGATCACTCCCACCTCCTTCCCTGAACCCAGAACTGACCTGGAACACTGAGCTCCATCTGACTGAGATCTGTTCCAGTGTTCCTATTGCTATTAAAACATAGCATTTCCATGCTAAAAATCTAGTCTATATCTACGGAGCAATTCAAAATGGTCACGTTTAAGAACCTTGAATAGTGTGGAGAGAAGCTGGACTTTCAGCAAAAAACACATCACAATAGGTTTCTCTTCCACTTGCAGGATGCCCACAGCTGCACTTCACTGACCAGAAGTGCTGTGGCAACACAAGTGACCAGACACATTGCACATGTCCACAGGCTCTTTGCCGAGGATAGTTTTGGGTTTAGATAGGTTTGTTGGGCTGCCATTACCTTCCTTCATCCTGCATAGTGTCAGAAAACAGGGCCTGCTGTTCAGTCAGGTGCTGTTCAATCTCATCCAGCTTCTCCTGGAAGCACTGGCAGGAGCTCTTCATCGCTTCTATTTCATGAAGGGTACACTACACAGAAAAGCAAGAAGACACCCCACTTTACTACTTTTCTTTGAGCATTTCCATGTCGAGTGCATTTGAAGCTGACAGCCTGCATGGTACAAGTCCTCCTCTAACCTGCACAACAGGGATTCTGTGAGCCATGAAAGTCCAGATGGCACTTCAAGTGAGTTTGCTCTGGGTTCATCACTCACATCCCAGTCACCACCTTTTCTCCTAAAACCTGTAGGATTAAGCCCGGGCACTACTTGAGCCAATGAGAATTTCATGTTTTCCATTGAAATGGAAAAGGACTTGGATTAAAGATCTGACTCAACGTGCCAAATTCTGATGTTACTGCACTGTTGTCAGACATTATATTTGAGCAGGATGAGTTGCTATGGATTAACGATAGGTTATTGGCCACTGGGTGTTAGAAACTGTTTTTAAAAAGAGAAGGAGGGAGAGGGGGAGAGAGCGAAGATAAATAAGAACTATGAGAAGGAAAAGCGTTTTTCATGATGGGTGCTGCAAAGCATTACACTGGTAATCTCTTATTTATTACCAGTTACAAACCTAGAATTGGATTTATCTAACTAAGTGCAGACATTTACTGCAACAAATGTATGTGCAAGTACTGCACCAGAGCAATTGTTCCAATCTAAAAGTAGACATCCATAATAGGTCAGAGGATCTATGCCATAAATGTAGCCATTACTCTTCATTGAGAGAAAGTATCGAGTATGATTGATCATGTACATCTACCCTGATTTCTACAGGAATGTCTCAGGGCAGGGGAGATGAATGAGCAGGAATGGCACATGAGAAAGTATAGGCAGATTTACAAGTTACTACTTTGTAGCACGGGACTAATACAATGGCAGCCCTCTAGTGACATCCAAATAAATCCTGTAACTGGAGTTCATCAATGTCTGAGTTTCTAGCCATGTTAAAGACTTTTCCTTGACTTTTCACACCTTGTCCAGGGCAGTAATGCAGACAGCGTAATCTAAATAAATTTGGAGACAATACCATCTGCCTTCTGAAAGCATGCCCACCTATTATGCTGAAACTGCTCCAAGTGCAAGGTGTTTGGTACGTTCCCATCTTAGCAAATTATGGTTTCTTGTAAGCCATGGGAAGACAGTGTACAAACCTGCACTCCACTGCTAACCACTGTAACTGCTAGAGAACAAGAGGTGTGTTTGCAAAGCATAGAAATGCCCAGACTCTTTGGATCCCTGCAATTATGTCCTTTGACGATCTCTTCGTGTTTGTGTGCTTGAATGTGTCCCTCAGTCCCATCAAGGCCTGAAACATGATGAAGACCTCCCTGCTAGGGGATCAACTTCAGCTAGAGGGCAATAGATGCTCCCCATGCGTCTGAGAAACTTCATTCGCAATCTTCATTTCAATGCAACTGCATTAACCCAGGGATAAACCATCCCATAGCAGTAAATCAAAGAAATCTAGCCCCAACAGCCATGGAAGTGCATCAGAAAGGGATAATTGGAGTCTAATAGCAGTTTGATAAGGCCAGTCCTGCAACTGCAGTGGAGGTGAGTTCTCCTAAGTGTCTGCTCCCTGCGGAGCACAACTGGTGCTTTTAATGCTGTGGGTCGGGGCAGCAATCACACACCACTGAGGCAGTCAGATGTGTTATGAGCACCTTCAGATGGAGTGTTGCCTGATTTCCCATTTGCCCCCCACCCCAAACTTTAATCTTGAGTCTCAGACAGTTTTCTCGTTCCTAGATGGGAGTGTGTGGGGTGTAAGTGAGAAGTGACCACACAGTAATCATGATTTCTTCTACCCACTGCCAAATCAGAGCAGAGTGAGGATTTATAGCCTTCAAAAAAAGTGCTCGAGAGATCTTGGAGAGCTCCTGTCCTTCAGGTCACTAGGAAGATGTCTATGGGCCACAGACAAATTTCTAGGTGATTTGTCAAGGCTACCAGAAATCTGGAAAGCACCATGCAAAAGACTGAAAGGGCACAATGTAGATAGGTTTGGTAAAATTCGTGACAGCCCTTATAGATGAGGTACAGGCAGCTCCCCTGGCACTGTCTCTTTGAGCATGTCTCAGAGCACAAGTTCACATAGATTAACTCAGAGTTCACACTCAGCAGGGGTGGAGAGGGGACTAACTGTTCCAGAACTACTCTCATGCAAGCCCTTGTTTAAGGTAAGGTGCGTGTGAACAGGGTAAATTTACTAACAGTTGCTCCGTGGTGGTTGCATTCCCCCTGCGTGCCCTTGGTAAATGGGATGTGACCCGAGTGAGCTTCTCTCAGTAAAAGATGTGGGAACTACCTCACCTGTACGCAAAGTACAAAATAGGCATGGATATAATCTCTGCAGAGTGACTAATAACTCGGTAAATTTACGCACCTAACTGCACAATGTGGAGCCATATCCCTAAAAACAGGTCTCGGATAACAGTACAGTGCAAAGTCTGGTCCTGCTGCATTCCTTGTCCACAGACTAGAGAAGACAAATCACCACTAGCCCCGGTTAGAAGAGTGGTAAAATAGTAGTGTACCAATGAGAAAAGGCTTCCCTGTCCAGCATAAGGTACTGACTCACTGCCATCTTGTGGCAACAGCAAGATAGCCAACAAAAGGCGTATTTCCCAATATACTGTTCAAAGACATTCCAGAATTATATATTCAGTGATGTAGCAGGATAAAATTCACCCGTTTCACTTCCTGGGACTTTTACCTAATAACTTCCTTCCCCAATTTGTACAATAGTTCAAGTTTCATTTCCTTACGAAGAGCAAATAGAAGAGGAAAAACAGAAAGGCTTGCAAACTAGCAGGGAGTATGCTGTTCCTTCCACATTTTTCTCAGTATGCCAAAGCTTCCTTGATTTCTTCCCCAACACACCCTGAGTCTTTCACAACTCTGGGGACCTCTCAGCAATTCTGAGCAAAGAAATAAAAATTTGGTAACCTTTTAGTGTCGGTATTTTTATTGCAAATACTCATCTTAGTGGGACTTTAGATTTAGTGCAAGCTTCTTATTCTACCTCAGTAAAATGGCTTGAGGCTCTGAGAAGTCGCAATTCGCTTTGATTTAGAGTAGTTTGGTTTATGGTATGTGTCTGGGTGTTCAGTTAGCCTTTAATAAACACTGAGTAATATAACCTAAATGAGTTCTCTTGTACTAAGGGGATTACACTGAATCATGTAACCTTGCATTTTCTGCTGTCCAGTGAGTTATTGTAATTCAGCTGATTCACAGGAACTCACTGAAACTCATTCTCATCTCTCAGCTTTTCATTTGACCTGTAAACTTCATCACCCAGTGTGCAGTAACCATTTAGAGATTGAACTGATGTACATAAGTTACGAAAAAAAAGCAGGCCAACAAAACTTTAGGTACACAGATACATTTCTGTCCAGAGGGAATGCTTCCCTCCCCATCCATTTTCTCAGCTGCATTCCCAAGATATGTCTCACTGAAGAAGCAAGCATGGCAGGAGAGGAAAGGAAAAGGCAGCTTGTACATTTAACTCATAAGTGTGTCAGCTGTCCATGTCTATGAAGAAATACACTCACCGGAGCAAGATTACACCTTGGAGTGTCCTGTAGAAGCATCAGGGTTTTCAAGAGCTGCAGCTCAGTGGTGGCCTGGCTTGAGCAGCAGCCTGCAGGGTAGCAGCAGCCATGGCAGCAGCAGCAGTGACAGCAGTGACTGCCTGGCGCACCCTTGGCACCAGGGCCCTCACCCCAGTAGTGTGAGCTGCATTTGCCACAAAGCATGCTGTCAAGAGAGGCTGATTTTGTCAGGTGAGTACGGGATGGAGAAAGCAGTGGTGGCCACCTGGGTTTCCTGGCAGGGATGTCAGTTTGGCTGGAGGCTTCAGCAGTCTGCTTCACTCCATCCTTCGAAGCCCCTGGGTCTGACTGTATAAGAGGACCACCCTCAGAACTGTGCGCTAACATGTCAGAGAAGTCTACAGGATCTTTCCTAGCAAGGCTCTCAGTGAAAGCAGCATTCTGCCCTGTGCCCTTCATCCGTGAAGTAAACTCCAGCCCTGAAGACATCTGAATGGTAACAGATTTTGGAGGAGCAAAAGCCATTTCGCCATTTTGGACAGCGTCTCCCTGTTCTGATTTGTTAGCTCCTAATATCTCCCCTATGCTACCAGTCTCTTGATCTGAAGATGAACTTAATCCAGGCCCTTCTGCTAGGCCAGAGGGATGCTGATGACGCACTTGCAGAGAACAGCTTGAAGCTGCACTGTGCCCACTTTGTGCTGCTAAGCCCCACTGCAGAGTTTCTGGGAGCCCCATTTTGGGGGACCATTTTGTATTTTTTGAATCACCATCCATTTCGCAATACTTCTGCCCATTTGTCACCTCATTCACTGCAATGGGGGTACGATCTTCGCTGACCACTCCCTCACCCCCCCATGGTCCTGTGTGACCCCCATGGGCATTTTCATGACATGCAACTCCAATGTCCTTTTCAGTGCAGCACCTCTCATCTCCAACTCTGATTTTGCTCTTGCTGATGACTGCAAGGTTTATATCATTCAGTTCAGTGAAGGTTGCATTCACCTCTTTGTGTCCTCTACTAAAATATAAATGACAATCAAATCCGAAGGAGCTAGGATTCCCTTCATCCTGAGTATCACCCTGAAAACAAGGACTATGCTCTTTTTCCACTTGTTTTCTTGCAGTTTTATCCTCTTTCCTGTCCATGTCACATAACATTTCTTGGACAAAACTCTGTGGCTCAGAATTACATTCCTGATACTTGCTATTTTCTGCAGTCAGCAGCAGAGCCTCTTCTCCCTGGTCACCGCATGCTTTTGTTGATGTAGGTACTGTTGAAATGCTGTTGCAAGCAGTGAGGAAGACCTTAGCAACAGAATCATCTGGCTTTTCTTGAAAATCTTGATTTAACACAGGAAGAACTGTCCTATGTGACAGACCTGTTTCTTGATTGTGGATATCAGAAATAAAATCAATACTTCCTGACAAAGGTGCATTCTGAAGTGGGTAAGAAAAAAGAAAAGAATAATTGAAATACTATAGTTGTTCTATCACACTGGTTCACCCACTACTGTTTTGCCCTGGGCACCCCCAGCAGGTCTTTAAATACATTTTAAATACCCAATGAACCAAAGATTCTTGTAATATTTCTTCCTTAATGCCTGTAACCTTGCACAAATCTTGCATTAGCGTGGTGGAAGAATTGCACAAAGTTCTGAGAAAGCTTCTCACCTTCTGAAGTTTTCTAGCAGGATTAATTTGCTTTCATAAAGCTTTCACAACTCTGTGATTTTTTTTTTTTTATGCTACTTTTCCCAGGGCTACAGAGGTTTCGCAGACCTACCAATGACTATTGCTCATTTCTTACTTGCAAAACTACAGGTTCTGGCAGCTCCTCCATGAACCCACTGCTGTCTGACTGGCAGCTGCTTGTTCTTGTCACCATCACCTCTGCTAGGGAAAACAAAAGGATAAGACAAATTAGAAAGAAAGACAGAAAGTGGTACCAAGCCAAAATGAGTATAGAACTAAGCAGGGGCAATTTAAATGTGCATTTCTGGAAATATTCTTGATCCTGGCCAGAAACCTGCAATATTGCTACAACCAGAAAAAAATAACAAAATGTACACAGGATAGCTATTGCTGATCTTACTAAGCTTTGACTTATTCACCAGTGTAATCATTAACTGCCGATTTCAGGTTTTTATATATTCACACAATATACACAGTGTAAATAACCTATAAAACAGCCAAACAGTTTTCTGCTGGCTAAAAGCAGCGCAGTTTTCCTGCGCTAAAAGTGTTGACTTTTGATTGTTAGAACTGTCTCAGTCTAAGTCTCATTCATAACTACGTAGTTTCAATGGCTTCAGCCAGGTGGCTCCTGCAGGGAAAGGAGCCCAGTTTGTCTCTACTTTGAGGCACTGTGTATCATCTCTGTTGTTTTTTGGTCTGAGCACAAGAAATCAGAGTAACTAGCTGAGATGATGTAGGGTTGCATGGCAAGACATAAAGGCAAGAGGAAGACATTCTAGATTTAATCCTGAGAAGGTTTCTAATCTAGCAGCCACATCATCTGGCTAAACCAATTATTACTCCAACTTTCGCAATTAAATAAATTATACACCATTAACTACCTGATTTAATGAATAAAAGCCAACTCTCTTTAAAAGTACAAGTGCTTGAAAGTAAATCCTCAGTTTGGATAACTTCCAGATAACCTTCATCCTCATCCTTCATCCTCAGATAATGCCCTCATTCTCAGATAGCTGGCAGAAAACCAGAGGCAGAGTTGAGAGAGCAGGCTGAGGGAGTCTGCTGAGGAAGGGAAGGGATCACGTCCTCTCTTGTTCCTTGTGTACATAACCTTTACTGGATCCTAGGGCTTTTTATCTTCCAGTTGTATCCATAAAAATATGACAATTCACCTAGCAGTTCTGAGACCTGAGTTATTAATTCTCATTTGTGTGAATCAGAAAAAGAAAAAAAAAATCTACAAATTATGTTTTCATATGTTAACAGACTATGGACTTTATTAAATGTACCTTGGGCATCAGTTAATGAAAATCATGCAATCTAGGAGGCAGCAACTGTAAAATCAAAACCAGATATCATTTTATGGTTTAAAAATTAATTACTTGCATTGTCAGTCCTGGTATCATCATCAGCACAGCAGTCAGTCAGTCACTTTCCTATTTCGGATGAGAAATACGTGGTTCCCATCTAACACATTACAAGATATGCAGCGATGTTGCTGAAAATTGCCTGTTTTGTGGGTGGTCTCAAAACTCATGCTTACAGTTTCCCACAAACGACATCATGGTTCAGCTTCTCCCCCAGGGAGACTGCTCTACAGATTCTCTAAACTTTTTAAAAAGCTGTTCCAATTACCCTTTGCATCTTTGCCAGCTGTTGCTTCCAAGTGTCAGTCTGGCCTATAGTTTTCCATACATAAAAATGAAGAAAGAAAAGCTTTGGAAAATTTTGAAAACATGAAATGTTTCAGCTGCCTAGTTCCAATCAATTTGAGTTTCAAATACTCAATTGTATCCTATAGTCATAACAACTGACCTTCAGGCTTTAAAGTTTGAAAAGTTAGAAGACCACATTACCTGCTTACCTAGTGTTTTAAGGTGCCTGTTTTCCTCCTGAGACATGCAGGATACCAAAGTAGCTGGCATGCTACTAGAAATTACACGTAGGGAAAAACCCTGTAACTTTTAATGGAAGAGTAAGTGCGGTTAGAATTAATCTTCTGACCTGGTCAAAACCAGGTGGCTATAGCCAGGTTTGATCCCTTTATTAAGATAAATGCGATGCATCTGTTCCAACAACAGCCAACTGCGTTTTTCTATCGCAACCACCTTTCCACCCACATTTACGTCCATGCACTAGCTAGAGAACTACTCAGAACATGTGACACTGGACTCCGGGCTTATCTTTAGGCACAAAGTGAGACATTAAAGACTGGATGAAATGTCTGCAGACCAAGTTAATATCTCTACAGTTAGGCTACAGAAAGACCTCCATGTGTCTCCCTGGACTTGTGCTAGAAGGAAGTATAGTGTGTGCTCTGCTATCATGGCTCTCCTCATTGATTAAACATGCAAGGTATGCAGATAAATCAAGGCTCAAAACACTCTGAAAGGCTGTCTGTGTACGTATTTTAAAATGGTAATATAATAGGACCTAATGAATATTCTGAGCATAAATACAGTTTCTACAATTTTTATGTTAGCAAAGTAGAAACTTATAAAAGAGAAGTATAGTAGAAGGAGAACCATGTTAAGCACAGGTCACCTGTGCTTATTACTGTGATTTTCTTGTCTTCAGACCAGGTAACCACCTTCATCTGAGTTAGGCATCTAATTTGCACCTACCTACATATTAGTTGTGTGATGAACTAATACTCCTAGAGCAAAGGCTTAATTTCCCTGTATAATCAGTGCAAAGTGATGTCTCCCAGGGTCTGAGCTGCAGTTCTTTTCCAACTACATTCAGATGCCGAATTTAATCATTACATCCCACACTGACTTGCAAGATTTTACCCAGTATGCCAAGCCCTGATGAAGGTAGGCAGGTGAAGATAAGGGGGTTTTAAAAGACAAGTTGTTTCTCTGACTCTAACACTTTATTCAAAGCCAGTCAAAATTCCCTCCATTTCAATGGAAGTCTGAATTTAAAAAAAGACTTAGTAAAAATGAATATGGGCCTCCAATTCAAGGTGGTGTAAAAAGCTATGAAGAGATTGCCAAAATACTCCCACAAGGACTTAAAGCTGAACAACACGCTTCCGGGAGAAACACAGAGCAGGGCTGTATTGGGAAGGCAGGTCACACCGCAAACTGGAGCTGTGCTGCAACTAGATTAAACACGATAGCCTTTTCAATTTGACGCAGCTCACTTTCAACCTATGTAAATGTAGTTTCATTTAACGTCTGTACACCAGAGCCAAGTATTGTTTGCATAATGGCAGGCAGCATTTGCATATCGAAGAAACTGTGTTTTGGGTGAGGAGCAGGCCAATCTATCACTTCCTCTTAGTGTCCCAAATAGCAGTGAAGTGACACTGCAGATTAGAGACCATGCCTGACGCTGCCCTCGGGAGGAATAGAGTTTCCCTCTTTGTGAAATTTTCAGCAATGTTAGTAATAGCTTGTCAATGGTAACAGTCTGGTTTTTCTCAGCACGCTCTAATACCCAGCGAGGATACCCACAGCCTGAATTTCTACTAGGAGACTGACTCTTTGCAGGGGTCCAGAGAGGGTCTTTGCTAGGTCTCCTAGGACAAATCCTGTATCTACCAGGTTATCTGATAATGTCCAGACTGGATGCTGGTGGTGGTTTGTCCCAGAATGGACTAGCATCTAAAGCACTTTCAGCTGTGGCCAGGGTCAGCTTTAAGGACACCACTTCTTCACAGCAACAATTCCTCATGTTTAAATGAACTAAAGCGTTTCAGCAACTGGAATATTGTCTTTAGGAGGCATACAAGTTGGCCAAAAAGATGGGGAGGAAGGTCAGAAAAAGTTACATAGTTTGTTTTAACATTTTTAAATGCTCCCATCTTTCTCTTTCAAATGCGGTATGTTTTGTTTTTTTTTCATGAAAGCAACTTAATTTTTTAATTTGAAGAATGATGCAAAAAATGGGTTAAATCAATGCCCTGAACATTAAGCAAAACATGTTTCCATTTCTCATCTACCCAAACCGCATTTTTCCCCCAATCATTTGGTTCAGCCACTGAACCAAAGTATCCATTATTCATGTAGCTCTACTCTGTTCTCCTCGTGTGTGGAGACACCCAAACCTGTAGAGATTCTGCAAATACATGCAGAGCATCACACCAAGGAAAGATAAAGTATGTTTGGAGAAGAAGTAGAGACGCAGACCAGTATTCAACTATGAACTAAAAATTACAACTCTGGGCCCTGTGCGGAGAATACATCTGGCTATGCTGGAAAGAGGAAGCCTGAGAATCGCCCCTGAAGATCTTGGTGAGGAAAACCTTGGCTCTTCGCCTTTCTGTGCTAATTGAACTGGGATAGTTTAGCTCCTGCATCCCATTTCTGTTCTGCCTGAATTTTAAATAAAAATAGGTTAGAGGAACTCACTAATCAGGTTTCTGCTTCATTTTGTATTGTATAAGAAAGTGCATGCCTTCCAAACCTCAAAGGTCCCACAGCTTTCCAGCCCTTTACTTGATCAATCCAATTTCATTAAGAGACTTTTCTCTCCCCTTATTTGCATGCAGATACAGTAGCTCCCATTTTCAGCAGCCTTCAGTGCAGGAACTTTCTGAAACTATTGGGCTCCTAGGTTCACCGTTAATGAAAGAATACTCCCTAATTAGTAAAAAAAAAAAATAAATAAGTGCTGGCGTACAATTCTGCATTCCTCTGAAGACTCCACAGCTGGTTTTCTGTGGACTTGGCTGCAAACAACACAACCTCTTTCTAGTTTCCAACCTGGAGAATACTTGCAAACTGCAAAATGCCATGAGAGCTACTACACTGCTTGTAAACAATAGCACATTTTTTGTATGTCTTTTGAAACACATTAACATTGATGAATGCACTTCATTATTTGTTTTCTACATCATTTTCTGCATCGTTTGTGTGGGGAAGCATAGGCACAAAAACCTCAAATGTGAGAGCATTTGTGAAAATTTGAACTTTAAATTCACAAATTAAAATCTGGACTGTTCATCCTGTCATAAGGAAAAGCAGAATGGCCAGTTGCAACCTAGCAATGCTGTTCAAATTTTAGATATTTTTGTTGCTGTTTAATGCTGTTGGACATTGTTGTGGATAAATACTTCTAAAACTGTCTGCTACATACATGGGACTAAATAACGCACAGATGTCACCATTTAGTCAGATATTTTGTAAAAGAAAAAGGAGCCTGGAGGACTTAGAGTAAGACTTTTCCACTTCACTGTATAAGCAAAAGCA